TGTACTGACTGGAAGCCCTGCGTGTACGGAGCTCGAGGCAGCTTCGGGCCACCTGCGGTCTGTTTCCCTCCTCCTGCCTCCTCTCCTGTTGGTTGGCGAGTAGGAGATCGACAGTTCGGTTTACCCCAAATTTGATTCCTCCGTCGAGTCTACGAATCATACGTAGCATGTTAGCAGGTCTGAGCGGATTCTGCGCATGCTTCGTAGACTCGATGGAAGAAGGAATTCTGGGGCCGACCAATTCTGTAATCAATCTCCTACTCGAGCTGTGTGCGCGACTTTTCTTGCTGGTCGTGGTGCCCCTCTTGTCGCCGACGTATCTATCCAGCTGCCTGCGGCAAGTCCCGCCGCCGCGCTGGGTTGTGGGTGGTGAGCCTATTGAATGTGCGTTGGGATCTCGTGGAAGGCCTCTCGGGGGCCTCTTGGAGGCAGTTTGGAGGCCTCTTGGGACCAGCTCGGGGGCCTCTTGGGGGCCGCTCAGGGGGCGTCCTGGGGCCTCCTCTGGGCCTCTTTGGGGCCTTTCGGGGGCCTCCTAAGGGGCCTCCTGGGCGCCTCCCGGGGGCCTCCTGGGGGCCTCCTGGAGGACCTCTTGCAGCCGACGCGCCTCTCGAGCGCGCGCCGCTCCTGGCGCTGCCCCGCCTCCGCGCCCCGTGGCCTCTCGAGAGCGGGGGCCCGCCCGCCACCGGGGGCTCAGGGCTCCTCTTGCGGTGCTCGGCGCGCTCGACGCTCCTCCCGAGGTGCTGCGCTGCCCGTGGACGCTCGGAGCTCCGAGGAGGAGACCCAGACCCCCTCGCGTTGCGAAAACATCGCAGCAGGGTTTTTTTTCTCTCACCATTTTCGGCCTCTGGGGGCCCTCGCCGGGCCTCGGGACCGTCCAGGAACGACGCAGGATGAGAATCCGGCCCTGGGGAATGGGTCGAGACCTCTGGGGGTCGACGTTATGAACAAATCATGACGTCGGGGCTCTGGGGAAGGCACCGACCCAGAGATCTGACGCTCCAACAAAAATTTGGGCGGCCGGCTTTGGGGGGCCGTTTTCGGCCTCCGGGGGCCCTCGCCGGGCCTCGGGACCGTGAAGAAACGGCTCAGGACGAAAAACCAGCCCCAGGGAAGTGGTGCAGACTTCTGGGGCCCACGTATCGAAAGAAATGGAGCGGCCAGATGTCTGGGGATACCACTGCCCTTCCCTCGTTTCTTTCCTATTTGGCCTCGTAGGAATCCCTCGTCGCCACGGCTGGATTCGCCTCGAGATCCTGGTCAGAGCGCAACCCGGGAGCTCCGGGGAGCAGCGGTGCCGGTAACAGTCTTGGTTTCTCCAGAGGTGTGAGTTGTCAGTGTACGTGCCCCATGCCCTCGTGGGGTCGCGGATTGGAACACCCATGGACTGATGTCTGGGTCTGTTGTCGCGCTGAGCGGGAGCAGAAGCTGGGGACGGTTTGGTAAACCATCACCTGCAGCGTTGGGCTGGGGCCCCATGGCGGGGACCGCATGGACGGCTTTCGGGTATTTCAGCAGCTTAGGTGAGGACCCTGTAGTCAGGGCGCTGTCTGAGACTGGATTCTGGGCCATCTAGCTAGGCCAGGACTCTACTGGACGACTACGGGCGGCCAGAACTTCTGGGGCAGTTTAGGCCAGCTTGTGCCGCAACAGCGACGGGAGCTTCTGGCAATTCAGGCCAGGACCTTACATGAGCGCGGGTGAAGGTGTTGATCTATTTCCACCATCATCGGGATCCTTGGCGGCCCGAGGATCTCGAATATTGAAATCCACCGTCATCGGGATGCCGCGGTCCGCATCGGGATGCCTTCCTGACATGGCCCTCGCCAGGCCCCGGGGCCGTTAGAAAACGATCGATCGAGCAACGCTATGTCAAAACCACGGCGGAGGATGTCTGGGCTGTGCTCCCCCCTCGGGATTCCTACGTCGCTCCCTGCCCCCTGGGCGGGAGTGGGGGAGCTAGGTTGGGGGGGCGCCGGCCAGTAACCAGAAACGCTCCAACACGTACAAAAACAACTCAACGCATTGGGACTGCGCCAGGGTTGTGCGGCGCCTGCAGGTGTGGGCGACTCTCTGCGACTGGCTGGGCTCTTACAAGGAGGTCGTGACCACTTCTACGCTCACGGGTCTGGTGTTGGCCAACTGCCTGATGATCCCTGCAGTCAAGGGCTCCTTCCCATTTATCCTCGCGGCTTCGCTGTCGGCGGGCATGTTCATGGCCGCCTGGGGCTCCGTGACGGACTCCATGACGATCCAGGTGAGCGAGGCAATATAACGGGGTTGTCTGCGCCAACATTGGCGAGTAAGCTGCCCGCGTAAGGTCGCGCGCAAGCGCCCTCGTCTCCGATGTGGCGTGCCGCGCTGGCGGCCCGCATAAACCGTCGCGTAAGGTCGCCACGTCATCTTGCGTGAGACTCCTTTCTGATCGTCGCTCAGGTGCTGAAGGAGTACGAGGAGGCCCACAAGGCCACGCTGGCCGCCGGCGACGGTGACACCCGCGGGGTCCGTCTGCCCTCTTTCGGCCAGCAGCGGCTGTGGGGCGCTCTCGGCTGGGGGGTGGCCAGCCTGGCGGGCGGGGCGGTCATGGACGCCTTCGGGGTGTCCACCATGTTCATGTCCGCGGATGTGCTGCTGCTCCTCATGTTCGTGATCGTCCTGACTCAGTTCCCCTCGAAGAAGGGCTCGCGGGCCCGGGCCGGCCGTATCGAGTGGGGGGCCCTCGCCAGGTTCGAGGTGGTCTGGTTCCTGGCCAACCTGGTTGTCTACGGCCTGCACATGTCGCTGGTCGAGAGCTTCCTGTTCGTTTTCCTGCTGCGTGAGTTCAAGGGCGCCACCAGCCTTCTGTGCGGCGCCACGATCGCGGTGATGTGTTTATTTGAGATGCCCGTATTTTTCTTCTTCGACCGGCTGTTGTCACGTTTTCAGCTGACGACGTTGCTGTCCTTCTGCCACCTGGTCTTCGCTGTCAGGTGCCTCGCCTACGCGATCCTGCCGCGAGACCAACCCTGGGCTGTCCTGGTGGTGGAGCCCCTGCACGGCCTCACGTTCGCACTGATGTGGTCGTGCGCAGTGGAGTACGGAAAGAGGTTTCTGTGACGAGCCCGGGGGGAAGTGAGAAAGAGAAGGCCTTCTCAGAGGCTCGGAAGTCCCCCGGCCTTCTGAGACGTTTTCTAAGTCTTCCCCGCAGACACAGAACACTTCCCAGAAGGCGCGAGTGCTTACGAGAAGTTCCGACGCCTTCTGAGAAGGCCTTCTCCTTCTCACCTCGCCCCTCGCTCGCCGCCGAAGGTTGGCGCCACCGGGGGCCGAGGCACGTATGCAGGCGGCCATGAACGGACTCTACTTCCTCATGTCGTTGGGCTGCGGCTCCCTGCTCTGGGGCCATGCCACTGAGCCAGCTCCTCGAGGCCTCGGGTTCACGACCTGCTTCAAGCTCGCCGCGTGCACCATGCTCACCTGGGCGTGCGTGTGGGCTCTGGGCTGGCAGTTGCTCGGCTGCCGGCGTGCGCGCCTGGCACGCCAGCAGGCGCGCCTGGCATTGCTGGAGCCAGGCGCGCCGGGCACCAGCTTCACCTCGGGCACCAGCATGGCGCAGGTGCGGTGAGGCTTTCGGCCGAGGCGCTCGGGCTGCTGCGCGTCGCCGCAGCGGGAGCCAGGTGGCGGCATGCGGCGGCATGCTGCGGCCCATGGAGAGGACTCGAGCTCGCGCAGCAGTGACCCAGAGCTGCTTTCCTGCAGATGAGCCCAGTCAAGCCAGCGCCACCGACAGGTCGAAGCCCATCCGGCTGGGGAGAGTGGTTTTGGTTGTGGCGGCCACGCCCCCGCCTGCCTGCTTGCCAAGCAACGGTGCATGCTAGCCGGCCTGCCACGCAGAGACCCTGCGCCGTTGATGATGGTAACGGTCATCATCGTCGTCAAGAGCAGCCCAAGACGGCCTAACAGCCGAGGGTGGGAAAACCACGCCGACCCCCACACATCTCGCTTGGCGAGCAGTCTAGGGCGTTCATTCAACGGTCCAGCCCGGTTCGATTCTGTCTTTCGGTGCGCTTGCTGAAGGTGTTCGTTTGTCAGAGCGAGGTGGCCCGAACGGTCTTACTTCTTCCCTGCGCGAGCGTGGCTGAATGGAGGGTTGTATTTGTGGGGGCGATACTTGGGGCGATACATGGGGGCACTACGTGGGGGCAACACTCGGGGGCAATACTTGGGGGCATTGGGGGCAGTGCATGAGGGCAGTACTTGGGCTTGGGGGCGATACATGGGAGCAGTACATTGGGGCAGTACTTGGCGGCAGTACATGGGGGCAGTACTTGGGGGCAACGTGTGGAAGCAATGCATGGGGGCAGTACGTGGAAGCATGATTCTGACGTGGGGTCACGCAACCAGGCGCGGGCTTTGTGCCTGCCGCCGCCGCCGCCGCCCCCTCACTCGTATCTGCAAATGCGGGGGTACACCGTGGGGTGCTTGATGATTAGGGTGGTACTTGTCATGGGCCCTGCAATCGGGCCAGGTTCGCCCAAAGGCCCCAGGACCCAAGAGGCCGCAAGGAGCCCCAAGAGGTTCCCAAGAGGCCCCAAGAGAGCCTTTAACAGACGCCAGGAGAGACCTCAGATAGCCCAAAGCGGTAGAAAAAACGTTGAATGATTTTGACGTGGGCAGCAAACTGCGACTCTGTGCGCTTTCTGCCCAGGCGTCCTGACCCGAATTTCGAAGGGACTCCGGCCGTAACCACCGGGGAGCCTCGGGAGGCCCAAAAAGGCCCTGGCACAGCCCAATCGCTTGTTCCTCGAACGTCGAACCTCGACAACGGCGGCGGCGGCGACGACAACCGCGAGGACCTCCGCCGCCGCGGCCCGACATTGCCGCCGCAGCGCCGACGCCACCGAGGTCCGCCGAGGGCCGCCGAAAGCCGTCTCTGGGCCGCCCTGGGCCGCCATGGGGCGCCGACGGCACCCAGCCACGCGCCCCGGGACGCGCTCGCACCTCGACGACGACGACAACGGCGGCGGCGGCAGCGACGACGACGGCGGCGGCGGCGGCGACGACGACGGCGCCCGCGCCCAAAGCCCGCGTCCGGGACGCGTTCGCGGCGCACGCCGGCGGCGCGCTGGGCGGCCTCCTCGTGGCCGCGTGCGCGGCCTGCTGGCAAGGCGGGCCCGCCGCGCATGGCCGCGCGTGGCCGCGCCGCCGCCGCTGGCCGCTCGCGCGGCACCTATGTGGCGCCCTCGGCGGCAGCTTGGCAGAAGGCCAGCGGCAGCAGGTCGGGTGCCGATGCCTTCGGTGTCGCAGGCCTGGAGGTTGGCACCAGCACCAACATCGGCGGTGCGCCCCCACCGAGGGAAGAAGCTCCCGATCTCGGTGACGGTGGTCAGATTCTGGCTTCCGGGGCGACCGAAATAGTTCCGCCGACGCCGGAATACAGGATCATTCTTCCCCATGTGGAGGCAACCCTCTGCGTTGGTGTTGGTGCCCATTTCCAGGCCTCCAACGGTAGCAAATCAAGCTGTGTATACCCTCGTAATTCCGTCTTCAGCGTCGACTCACGTCGACTGGCGTCTGGGAGTGGATGGGATAGCGCCGAGTTAGCGTCGGCTGGCGTCGATGAGCGTCGGTCTAGCGTTGGTCAGCGTCGACCAGCGTCAACGAGCGTCGATTCGCAAGGGCCGACAAGATGGCGCGGGAGACTCCCATGCGTTGCCACCGAATGATGCCGCGGCTCGTCTTGGGTCGAAGAAGGGAGAGCGGCATAAACACAAGCTGTCCGAGCTCCCCGAGGCTTCCCTGGATCGGCACCGGCACCCCCTGGCGGCGCCTCTGGGGCGCCTCCTGGGGCGCCGAGCGCCGTTTCTGTCTGTGCAGTTTTTTTTTGTTCCTCGGTTGGCGACCCCCGTCGCCCCGGCTGGACTCTCCTGGGAAGCCTTTTGTCAGAGCGCCCCCCCCGGGGGAGCTCGAGGCATTGGCGGTACCGCTGCACCTTTTGGTTCCCGCCGCTGCGGCAGGGGCAGGACGGTCGGCGGGCCCGGCGGCGGGAGCGGGCGGCAGGAGCGGGCGGAAGACGGCGCAGGCAAGGCGTCACCGCTTCTGGGTCTGTGGCTCCCGGGGTAGGCTCAAGTCGGGCCTATCCCTCTACAGGGGGAATTTTCAAAAACAGTCAAAAATTATCAGGGGACTATGTTTTGAGTTTTTTTTTGTTTTTGAGTTTTTTTTTGTTTTTTGACAATTTTGGAGTATGTTTTGAGTGTTTTCTTTTTTTGTCGAAAACCCCCTGTAGGGGGACACGCCCGACTTGAGGGTAGGCCAGCTGGCACGAGTGTCCGGAGCATGCGCAGCTTTTGAGGGCTACCCTTATATGATGTCTTTGGCACGTCCTCCGCTCGGGGTGTGGTCATCGGGCCCTGGGCCTTCGCTCTTCCTCGACTGTGCCCAGATCCCCTCGCGTCGAAAGAAGGGCACGCGACAGAGGTTTTCTGTAAATTTCGTATAGGGGCCAGACATGTTCTGATAGTTTGGGTGCTTCTGGGGCTTCCTTGGGCGTTCTCGTCGCCACGGCGGGATCTTCCTCGAAACTCGCGCTCCCCAGGATGGGGCCAGTGTGGCGATGTTTGGTTTTCGAGCTCAGGCCTGCTCGCGTCGCGAAAAATGCTCCCCCCCCCCCACACGTCAGTCTCATTATATAGTTAGGCCAGGCGTCTTTTCTGTGGGCTGGGCTCGGTACTGATCCCTCTCGCTCTTCTCGCCCTCCTGAGTCACTTTGGCCCAGGTGGTTCCTGCAGCGAGCATCTTACCGCAAGCCTGCTTTCCAGTCTCGGCCGAGGGGCACGAGATTCGTTCTGCTGCCCCGCCCGTGGCACCGATGTTGGCGACTGCCCCGCCAGGGCTCGGCTCCCGCTCGTTCCAGATCGCCCCGAGCGGCCTCGAGGGTGCCTGGAGGAGGGCGCCCGACTCGACGCGGTCGGCGCTGGCCCCGCCGCAGGGGCTGGCAGGCCCGCCTGGCACGTGGGGCGCAGCCGCGCCGACGCGGCGCGAGCTCGTGCAGCAGCATGCGCCGCGCCCTCGCCCGATGGCCTGCGCCGCGCCGCAGCGGCGTGCGCCGCTGGCCGCCGAGGCCGTGCTCCCCGGGGCGCCCTGGTGCTACGCGCTACGCCCCTGCGCGGGGCGCCCCCGCCCCGGCCGCCCCGCCTCGCGCGCGAGCGTCGCCGCCCGGGCAGTGGCCGCGGCCCGCGCCGCCGCCCCCGCGGCCGATCCGGAGCAGGCCGACCCTGTGCGAGGGCAGGGCCGCCGGGTGCGACCCCAGCGCGACCACCAGCGCCGACTCCGTCAGCGCCGGCGCGCGCACGCCAGAGGGGCTGCTCACCCCGCGCTCGGGCGGCCCGGCGGAGTGCGGCGGGGAGGCGGCCGCAGCGCCAGCGCCGGCGCCAGGGGCACAGGGTGCGGGCGGCAGGGACGAGGTCGACGACGTCAAGAAGCTGGAGAGGCTGGTCTGGCTGCAGCTGCAGCGCTGCCAGGACGCAGACCTCGCTGCGGTGCCGCTGGAGGCGGTGTCGTACGGCAGCGTAGGCCACCCGCACGCCTGCACGACGCCCTGCAAGTTCTTCGCCACCTCGAGGGGCTGCAAGGACGGCCTGGCCTGCTCGCGCTGCCACGCGTGCCATTGGCGCAGCTGCCTGCGCAGGACGCCCGTTAAGAAAAACAGGGGGACATAGGCTGGCTGCTGCGAGAGCCATGAGACGGTTGCATGACCTAAGTGTTGCAATGTAACCACTCTCGCAAAGACCTGGACGTCTCACGGGACTCGGTCGGGGGAGACAAGTAAGAGGATGAGGAACAGAAGGAACTTGTACAGCAGGACCAATTCACAGCGGAGCTGGGATGCAGCGATTTATTGTATCCCTGCTCGCTGACGCCTAACCTGGTCGGGCTCCCTGCGCAGCCACGCGCAGAGGGGGGCAGGGGGAGGGGGCAAGGCTTCTCAGAAGCACCCCTGCCTCTGCGAAAGCGCGGGCCTCATCTATAGTTGCAAGGCCGGTGCCTTCTGAGAGGCAGCCTCCTTCTGAGAAGCCTCCCCCCCTCCCCCGAAGCCCTTGGCGCGCGCCGCCAAGCTGTGTTCCGCTAGCACGCCGCTTCCTCGCCACGCCTCTCCCGCCCCTTCGCCACCCCGAGCGCTCCCGCGGAGGGGCCGCGCGCGCTATCCTGGGGCCACTCGCGTTCGAGGACTGGGCCCCGGGGCGCGCACCCCTCCCGCGCGCGCCGCGCGCGCTCCGGGCATCCGAGACCTCGAGCTTCTCAGTCCGGGGCCCCAGGAGGTACCCAGACCCCCTCGCGCTGCGAACAAAACCATGACGGGAGGTTGTTCGTTATCTTCGGCCTCCGGGGGCCCGCACCGGGCCTTTGGACCGTCAAAAAACGACTCGGGATGAAAAACCGGTCCCGGGGAAGGGGTCCAGACCTTTGGGGGCCGAGGCTGTGAACAAATCACGACGTCGGGGGTCTGGATATGGGCCCCGGGGCCTGGCAAGGGCCCCTGGTGGCCGAACACCAGAGCAGCCTCTGCACGCAGCTGGCTCGAGGCATCGGAGAGGTCTGGGGCCCTCGACGCCCGCCGCGGCCCGCCACGAGACGCCCGCGCGGCTGGGCAGCGGCCGCAGCCGCTGCCCGGCCTCCGCCATCTTCCGCTCTCGCAGGTCGGGTGCGGCACGCCGCAGCCGCGGGTTTTTGGTGTTGGCTGCCTGTAGTCACCGAGCGCGTTCCACTACTGGCAAAGTGCCTACTCGCAAACGCCCGAAAACACATCTCCGCTTCGATGTAGTTTATCGTAGATCCCCCGCGGCGGATCCAGGCCACTTGCGAGTAGCTACTTTGCGATTAGTGGAACGCGCTCGTAGATGTAGGAGTGACCCTTCGGCGGAGTGACCTTGTGGTGCGGGCTTACCCGGGTCCCCCCCGATCGCGGAGCGCGATGCG